GGCGGCCCGTGAGGGTGCGAGCGGTGCTGTGAACGGAGCGGGGGGTCTTCGGGATAAACCAGGCCGTCTTGGGTGGCCCTTCCCTGGTTTGGGGCATTTCTCCCTGTCTACGCTTGGCCACGCAGCGTCTGTCCTGGTCTGACACACGGGCATGAGTGTCTCCTACCCCCCGTAATGCACACTTTAAAATACATATTTATCGCTTGCCCTTTCGCTCAGGTCTGCAGCTTTCTGAGCTGCTTCCTTCCAACTTCACTGGCAAGAGGTGGTTTCACAGAGCTGTCACCGAATACCGGGCTGCTTAAACGGTGGCGAGGGGCCTCGGGGGGGTTATAAACTGTAGGGTGCTGGAGGGTTTGGTCCAGGAAAGCAAATTAATAATTGCAGCAAAAGTCTCACCCTAGCAAGAGCCAACTTTTGGGCACCATTTGAGAGTCTTCTTGTTCCGCCTGGTTTCTCTGCAATTAGGCTGCTTATAGTGAATAAAAATGATGACTTCTTCCCCCACCACACAACACACTTGTTGAAATTAAAATGTTAATGTTGCGTGCCTTACTTGGGGGGGGCTTTTAATCTTGGGAAAAAAAAGTTTCTTTTTTTTTTTATTGTGTCCATTTTTTTTGTCTGTTTACATTGATAGCTTATAAAATACCCAACCTGAATGGCAGTGTTAACTGTCTTTCCCAACTCATAAATGCAAGGGCTGTTAGTAACATTGTGACGTGCCTGTTACCCTTGGAATTGTGAATCTCATGTCAAGTCCTATGTGAAATTAGTCTCCGCTTACTGGCTAATGGATTCTGCTTCACGTCATGTACTACAACACCTAGTTCAGTAGAGTACATTCTCCTGTGATTGATGGTTCTTTATTGCTGGAAAACAACCAGTAAAAGTTGAGTTGCCATTAATTTTTTTAAAAATGTTAATATCCATTAAATTTTTATAACTGAATATGATGGGGCCTTTGTGGCTTCTTGCTTGTGATGTTTTATGTAACCATTTTTTCCCCACATAGTTATATTTCAGACACTGGCTGAAAGGAGTTTAGCTGACTTCAGTTCAACCTACCATGTAAAGGGTACTCTTCTACAGTAAGATGGTAGAATATTTACCCAAACTAACAGATGCTGCTAATGAAAGACTAAAACTCATGCACAGAGGGAACGGAACACATCTTGCCTCGCTCTCAAAAGGGAGTAGATGTTGAGTTTAGTTAGCCAGCAGTGTATGACAGAGTAAGACTCCCATAACCTGGATGGCAACATAATTATTTTTTCTTATTTTTGTGTAATACTTTCTTTTAAAGTGAAATTCCTGCTCCTGTTTTTTGCCAGTCTATTAACCCCCTGGAGATTTCAAAAGCCAGTTTTTAGATTTTCTTCCTTGGAAGGCTGTGGAGAAGCAGCCTGTGAATGTGGTGCTGTGACATTTGCGGATTTACAGTGCGGGCAGTAGTAACCAACTTTGAAGAGATGAGTAGGTTTTGAAAAGGTCATACACAGATCTTGTATTTAGCACTTTCCTTCTGCAGATCTTCTTGTTTACAAATGTTTTAATTAATACTTTAGCAGCTGCTTCCACAGGTACTGATAAGATGTATTATCACAATTCAACAGGCAGGTGACGTGTCACCCAAAGGTGACATGTAGTCAGTGGTAGCGTTGTGAAGACCCTTTGTACTAAGTACTGGCCCACATGTGCTCACCTCTTGGTGTTGAAGGATTGCTCGTGCTTTTAGGTCTTGCACCATTTGATCCCGGTCCCATTGCTTGGGGAAACTAATCCAAATAACCACCCAGTTACTGACTTACATACTCTGTGTCTACCACAACGGGTATATTTTTAATTCATCCATGTGTGTTTACATTTTAGATAAATGTGATCACATATTTTTAATCTAGTTATTCCTGTAGTAATCTTCAGAAACATGATCTTTAAAATGTAATGTGAAATGATTATTTAATTGGGTGCTTGTAGCAGAATTTCTCCTGTTGAGATTTCTGACTGGCTAACCAATTTCCTTGAGCAATATGGTTTTCCACATGATAGACTCCCTTATTTTCCTCAAGAAGATACTGTAATTTTAATTGGAAAGCTTTGACATATTTTGGATCGACTCAGAAAAGTCAATTTTTCTTTCATTAAAGATCTTGTACAAATGGATGCAAATAGAAACAAATGGAAAATGAGACACTAGTACTATACTGGCTTTTACTTCAGATTTTGGTTTGGTTTGCTTGGGCATTTTGTAAAGACTGAGGAGGTGTGGGGGGTGTATATAATTGTGCTGGTTTCGGCGGGGATAGAGTTAATTTCCTTCCCAGTAGCTGGTACAGTGCTGTGCTTTGGATTTAGGATGGGAACAAAATTGATAAGGCACCGATGTTTTAGTTGTTGCTAGGTAGTGCTTACACTGGCCAAGGACTTTCTAGTTTTCCACGCTCTACCGACTGAGAAGGCTGGGGGTGCACAAGAAGCTGGGAGGGGGCACAGCCAAACTGCCCAAAGGGACATTCCATACCATGGGACGTCATGCTCAGTACATAAACTGGGGGAAGCTGGCCGGGGGGGGCCGCTGCTCGGGGACTGGCTGGGCGTCGGTCGGCAGGTGGTGAGCAATTGTGCTGTGCATCACTTGCTTTGTGTATTGTTATTATTATCATATTATTATTATTATCATTTTATTTCAATTATTAAACTGTTTTTATCTCAACCCACGCGTTTTTCTCACTTGTGCTTTTCCAATTCTCTCCCCCATCCCACCGGGTGGGGGGGAGTGAGCAAGCGGCTGCGTGGTGCTTAGTTGCCGACTGAGGTTAAACCATGACAATAATATATATATTACACATCTGTATTACCTATATATTTTAAATAAGCTCAATAATGCAGTTTTTTCGTGGGAGGAAAGTGTTTTGTGATGCCTTCTGGGGCTTTATCCCCAGCCAAGCCCATTTTATCTGGGACCTAAACAATGTCCAAGTCTCTGCTAGTGTTCAAGAGACAGATGTGCCCCACTGGCACATTATCTGTCAGCCTGCAGGCTTATCTAAACAGAAAAATGATAAAGCATTAAATGAGAGGGGTAAAATTAGCTGGTATAAAATTCCTCTGCAGTGTTGCATGTACAGGTATGCTTTGATAGCCACAAAGCAATTTTTGTATGGGAGTCTGTATAAACTGTACTGGTAGACTTGCCCCTAGCTGGGAATTACATTGGTATAAATGTACACCTCTGACAGATACAGTTATTCAAACACTTTCTGTAGGGGAGTGGAAATTGTGAAAACAATTTTCACTCCTAGGGATGCAAGAATATAAGGATTACTACTGCAAAGTTGTGAAGAGTTCTGGTTTTTCCAGCATGTTTGGTTAACGTTCATACTTAAATTGCCACTCAATTCAGGCACCTGACTTGAGACAAATGGGAATAAAAGGGATGTTTCACATATATCAGGTCTGTAGTTTTGCACTCTCAGCAATTTTTCATAGGCCATGGCAGATGTCCTCTTTTACTCCCAGCTGTGAGAGAGCTTACTGATCCTATCTGCCTGTTCCCATCGGCCAAAGGTTATCACCAAGGAAGCAATTCACAGGAATGTCCTTGTATTAGGCAAAATTAGCGGCCTTACCCTAAACTAAATTATTGGTCTCAACTAACTTGGCAGACTGTTCCCGCAGTGAGTTAACAGGTGCTTACACATACTGCTTGACTGGTACTTTGGTGGGTCATCAGTGAGAAATTAAGAGCTGGTATCATCTTCCTCTAGCACAGCTGGATACAAAAGACTTCTTTTTGTAGCCTCAGTTACTTTTTTCCACTTCCAAAAGCAGGTTCCAGCCTTCAGGGCTACAAACGCAAGCCAGTTCATTAAATGAAATCTGAGAAAAAGAAGAGGATGGTTGAAAGTTGTTTCAAACAATGGCCAGCCTGGTATGACCTACCTCTAGCTCTGAGCTCCAGTGCTGTTTGTATGGGCGGTGTTGGTTTCTGATATGCAGCAATAATTTTAACACCATTACATTCTCTCTGGCCTTTTCCTGAAACATTAGAAAAACCTTAGCAAAGTTACGGAGTTGTAACAACTCAGATCCATCAAAACTAACCAGGAAAGATCGGTTTCTTTGTATGTAAGTACAGATGTGGCTGGCTGTTGACTTCGAGTAGATAGCTGCGATCAGCAGTTGTTTAATTTTCCATTGCCTGTTTGCCCAGACTTAGACCAAACCCAGAGAAAAATCACAAAAAGCATTTACTTTCTATCAGCTGTTAAATACTATGTGATGGATAATTATCATCATGTAATTATTGCATGTTCAGAACATACTCATGATGCAGAAAACTGAAGCTGTTTGTTTGTCTGTCTTTCTAGTTTATGCAAAGGGGTTTGGATTCACAAACTAAAAAACAACTAGAAGAGGAAGAAAAGAAGATAATTAGTGAAGAACACTGGTACCTTGATTTACCAGATCTAAAGGAGAAAGAGTAAGCTTCTACCCTTTTGTACTTCTTATCATCATTGGAGTGTTGTGGAGTGGGAATAGAATATACATATTTTTTCCTATAAAAGAAGTATTATTAATAACTAATTAACAGAAGCAAAAATAGCGACAGGCTGGCATTACAGCTTTTTTTATGATTTATTTTCAGGGACGTTCTCAAGGTTGCCTAGTGCAGTTTGACCTACTTTCATTTCTTGTGTGTGTTGTTTTCTTTCACTCACAGTTTCTTCTAGATGCATGTAATTAGTTTCTTTCAGGCAGAGATCAATTCATTCACTGCTGCTTTTTCCCTTCATTTGAAAAAAGAAGTTTGAAACCTTGTGTTAGTAAATTCAGCTCCAGTCACACGGTTAGGTCCATTCAGGACAGTTCTGTCTTCCCGAGTCCAGCTCACTTCAAATCCTGTTTTTGTAATAGGAGAGATAATGGCAAAAATAAAGGAAGGCTTAGCTAATAAGGAAGAAAATGTCCAT